CCGGCGGGCGATGCCGGCCCTGAGCCTTGCCCCTCTCCCTAATGCACCCCTGGGAAGGGATCAGATTTGCAGAGACCCAGGAGTGGGGGAAGGAGCAACCGCGCTGCGCCTGCACATGGCTTTCCCCCAACCCTTTTTTGGGAGCTTGAAGTGCCCACGAGGGAATTTGCCTTAATTGGAAAAAAAAAAGCTTCTTTTTTTTTTTTTTTTTTCTTTTTCCCCGATCTGCCTCCTTCCCTCTTTGGCCACAGCCAGCAGGAGCGATGGTTACCTCGCCGGCACCACCTCCCTCCCCAGCGATGCCTTTCCCCACCGAGCATCCCCCCCGCCCCGGCTTTTCTCTGCAAAAATGCCTCTGCCCTCTCCCCGCAGATACTCCCCCCGGGTCCCTACTCCAGTCCCGGGGCAGGACATACCCGAGAGGCTCCCGGAGCCCCGGGGTGAAAGTTACGTCAGAAGAGTGGGATTTGGGAAGGGAGTGACGTCACGAAGAATTAGGAACCGCCGGCTATATGATTCGAGCGGTTCGGGAGCAAACCTGCAACGAAAGGGAGTGGAGAGGAAAGGGGTGATGGGGAATGGTTTCTCACGCCGGTCCCAGTTCAAGTCGGGTTTTCTTATCGGGTCTATCGGAGGAAATAAAATGAAACTCGTAGCCCGGCTATAACGTAAACAGGCTAATCAGCGGTGAAAAAACCCGAGGCGCCTGAAGTGTAAAACACAGGCCACTTTGGAGCCAGCGAAAGAGGCGCCTGCCAGGCCAGCGCGGCCGTTCTTCCTCCCAGCCATCCTCACCTCTCGGGCAGGGACTCTGCCGCCCACCCTGGGGGCACAAGGGCACCCACACTCCCCTCCCGGCGAGCAAAGCCTGCCTTAAAATGCCTGTCCCTTAAAAAAAAAAACAACAAAAACCCAACAACGACTCAACAAGGCATTTCTCGGGTTATACCCACCCAGATCTCCCCTTAGACGTGTTTGAAGTACCCTCAGGTCTAACTCGAGAAGGGACATCCAAAAGACTTAAACGAAATGCGGGGTTTAAAGCCGAGACCTCGGCTCTTTTCGGCGCAGAAATTTGCAGTGGCAGCACCCAAGCTGGGAAGAAGTGGCGTGGGCATTGTTTCCCGCGGCTTCCCCTCCTCTTGTCGCGCTTTTGCAGGTAAAAATCACGGGAAAATATTTAACGTTGCAAGTTCGAGGCGGGAGGCACGCCGGTGCGTTTACGGACAACGAATCGCTGCCCTCGTTTGCAAAAGCTTGTTTTCTATTTAATATTACACCCACTAAAATACATCTAAAAGTAAAAAATAAAAAATAAATAAAAAAATCACTTCAACCTGGTAGGGTGACCAAAAGAAAAATATTACTCAGAGAGAGCTGAGAAGAAAGAAATATCGCCTTTAATTATACCATTTAATAGAGAAACGGTTTCTCGGGAAAGTGGTTATTTTCCGAGATGCCGCGCTACACCACGAAAATTAACGAGCACAAGAAAACTTTGAGGTCGCAATCGGTCCCCCCACGCCAGCAGAGCCGGATGCCTATAGCCTGAATTTTACCGTACCCCCACTATTGCAAATTCTTCATCTCCTCATCACCTTGCCTGGAAAGACGGAAAGAAAAGCCGTGCCTACCCCAGGAGCGAAAAAGCATCGCGCATCATCAGCAGGTTTGGGCTCGGTTTCTGCCGGGGAGGGCTCATGTCTGCCGGCTGCCGAGAGCCGGGCTCTGCTCTAGTCCAGCCCTTTGCCGCAGATGACTCTTTCTGTACAAACTGATGATGACAGATATCCAGCTGATAACCTCTGGTGAACGAAGTTATTTTAATTTCCAGTCACTTTCCTGCTAAGTACCATATCAGTTTGTACACAGCTGAGATAAGAGGGTTGGGGGG